TTTCTTTCTTTCTTTCTTTCTTTCTTTCTTTCTTTCTTTCTTTCTTTCTTTCTTTCTTTCTTTCTTTCTTTCTTTCTTTCTTATGTTTTGGTTTAAAATTTTTTTTAAGTATGTGTCTGCATGTTTTCCTACATGTGTGTCTGTGTTCTACATTTGTGTCTGGTGCCTGCAGAAGGCAGAAGGCAATGATACTCTGGATCTGCAGTTACAGAGGGTTTTGAGGCATCATGTGGGTGCTAGGAACTGAACCAGGGTCCACCGGAAGAGCAGACAGTGCTCTTGACAGCTGAGCCCTATCTCTGGGTCCTGTTTTTGTTTTTTGAGACAAGGTTTCATGTAGCCCAGGCTGGTCTCAAACTCACTATGCAGCTTCTTGGTCAACAAGGCTGGTGCCCAGCAGTATCAATCTCCCAGTCCCTGGAGGCCTGTCGGCCTGTCGGCCTGTAGGATGCAATATATGTTGGAAGTCTAAAGAAACAGGGTATTGGTACCAACAAAAGAGAAAGTTTCTTGCTGTTGACCTGCTTGATCTCATGCATAGCTGGTGAGTTCATCTACTGTGTCACTGTCACAGAGGCTTTTGTCACAGCTGCTTTCTTTTGTTGACCAAGAAGCTACTGGATTCTCAGCTCTTCCAGTGTGAGAAGTGCCACTGTTAGACAACCCAGCCTGTATCATGTAAGCCAATTTAACATCCCCCACTTTGTGATATATATCCATTCTATTGCTTTTGTTTCTTGGGAGAACCCCGACTTTTACAGTAGTCAAGTATAGCCTGATCCATTTTCCCCACATTCCAAGTGCTGTTATTGCAGGCATGCACCACCACTCCCAGTTTATGCAGTACTGAGGCCTGAACCCTCGGCTTCATGCATGCTAGACAATCACATCACCAACGTAATTACATCCTCAGCAATTTATTTGTTGAATCTTGTGCATGTATGTATTGGGGCACATGTATATATGTGGCTGTGCATACCTATGCATGTATACATATGGAGGCCAAAAATTGACATTAATTACCTTCTTTGGTCACTCCCTACCTTATATACTGAGGCAGGGTCTCTCATTTGAACCCAGAGGTCATGTGTCTGGCTAGTTTATAGGTAGCCGGTTTGCACTTAGAGATCTCCTGTCTCTGCACCCTGTTGTTGGGATTACAGGCATGCCATCATACCTACTCAGTATTTATGTGGGTTCTGGAAAGCAGAACTCTGATCTTAATGCGTATGTGGCAAGTGCTTTACTGTCTGAGCCATCTCCTCAAACCTGTGTATTATTATTACTTTTTTAGACAGTATGTGTGTATGTGTGTATCCCGGGCTGGTGCCAGATTTGCAGCAATTCTCGAGCTTCAACTGTAGCATGAATTCTAACTGGTCTTAATCATAAAAACCTGGAGTCAGATATCAGGGTGAAAGCTGAAAGATCAGAGACGCAGAGCAGCCAGCCACCAGTCCTTAACTCTTGCAAACCCTCTGCCTGAGCTCCTGTCTCCTCCCACCTTATATTCCTCTCTCGACCGTGCCATATCACTTCCTTTCTCCTCCCGCCTAGTGCTGGAATTAAAGACGTGAGATCCGCAGTGCTGGCATCCAAGGTGTGTGCCACCACTGCTCGACTCTGTTTCTGTTTTAGACTGGATCAATCTTGTGTAGCCTAAGGTGGCCTTGAACTCACAGAGATCCGTCTGCCTCTATCTCCCAAGTGCTGGGATTAAAGGTGTGTGCCACCACTGCCTGGCCTCTACAGCTAACTAGTGGCTTAGCTCCACCCTCTGATCATCACGCAAGCTTTATTTGTGAGATCACAAACAAAATGTCACCATAGTCAGCCCCCTGACTGCTGATATTATAAGTATGCTCTACCTTGTCCATCTTAAGAACATGGATTATGGAAGAGAAAATAAGGAAAAGCTTTGCCACTAGAGTCCTGGAGTCTGTTTAAAACATCTGGCCAAGGAGGCACCTGATTGTTTTAACACCAAAGAAATCCCTCACCTCCTGGCACATGCAGCATCTGGGTGGAACAAGTAAGTGAAATCCTATACCCATTGCACCCACGGGTCCCTGGTATTTGGTGAGAATTCCTCAGTAATGTATACCTGTTCAGAGATTTGTTGAAAACACACACACACACACACACACACACACACACACACACACACACACACCCCAAAACAATAGAACAACAACAAAACCAGGCAGCTGTGTGGAATGTTTACCAGACTAAGAGACGCTGAGCTATGCAATACATGTTTACAGTGTAGGAGGGTGGAAGTGCACCTCCTACGTTGACTAGGGAGACAGAAGTATGCTGGACTCTGCACCAAATATCCTCCTGGAGCCTTCCGAAAGTGCTTGCTCTCCTTCTGGAAACTGTGTTTCAAGGCTGTAATGCTTACTAGCCAGAAGACTCAGAGTGAGTTTCCTGCTTCCTGAGATGGTTGAGATGATTTTCAGTATGTTCCAGGGCCCCCCTGCAGCCTCTGTGTTCTGAACCATTGGTCCTGAGCTCAGCTATAGCACTATAACTTTCAACACTCTGTGTTAGGAGCAGATTTCACATTCTTAACCCAGCAATTGTTGCAGACCTACTCAGTTGAAAAACATGTGACATGGGGTTGGGTACCTATGGCTCAGTGAGTACAGTGCTTGTCATGTTAGCATGAGGAGTTGAGTTCAAGTCCTCAACACCACGCAACAAGCAGGGAACAGCTATGACCTATAACTGTATACAACTCCAGTGAGGTGGAGTTCTAAGCAAGCCTGGGCTACAACCTTGTCTTAAAAACAAACAAAGATATAGAAAATCATTCATATTACTTATCATTTACTGAAGTATCAAAGCAAAAATGAAGGAAAAACATCATGTTCCTTCAGAAGAAAAAAATCGACGCTGGTCTCTTTGTAACACTGCCCCAATATTACAGACTCTTGCCAGCTGTTGGATAGGGGTTTCTCTTTGATTCTACTTCCCCACACCACCATCGGCTCCAAATGGCATGCCCATTTAGATTGCCAGACCACAGAAGAAACTGTGAATGAAGTGGCTGGAGGATAGCAAGGCTAATGGCCGAACATTTGAATAGAAATGACCTTTGGCAAATATCAAATGTCTTGAGTTCTTTTTTCTGGACATAAGAGAGTTGATAGCTTTGTTTATAGCCAGTGAAATTCTAGAATTGGTACCATCTGGCCTCTGATGACACAAATTCCTGTTGTTCCGTTAGCACAGTAGAAGCAGTGCGGGCATCCAGATACCTGCTGAGCAATGTGATTATAAAACTAGAGAAATTTACAGGTTGACATGCAAAGCCTTAAAAGAATTGGCTTTATTTATTTCATGTATGAATGTTTTGCTTGCAGCTATGTATGTATGTGAATCCCTGCCTGCCTAGTGTCCTCAGAAGTCAGAAAAAATCACCAAGTTCCTGGGAACTGGAGTTACAGATGGTTGTGAGTCAACATGTGGGTGTTGGGAATTGAATCTAGAGTCTTTGCAAGTCACAAATATTCTAAGCCAGTAAGTCATCTACCCCCTTGCCTACCCACAACCTTTTCAGAGATCTCACTATATAGCCCTAGTTGGTCTGGAATTCTCCATGTAGACCAGGCTAGCCTCAAACTCACACAGATCCACCTCACATTGCCTACTGAGTGCTGGGATTAAAACCATGTGCCATTACCCCTGGATTCTCTCTCTCTCTCTCTCTCTCTCTCTCTCTCTCTCTCTCTCTCTCTCTCTCTCTCTCAGCAGGGTTCTTATGTATCCCAAGCTGGTTTCAAGCTCAGTGTATAACTAAGGATGGCATTGAACTCCTGCTTCTCTTGCTTCCACCTCTCCAGTGCTGACATTACAGGCATACATTATCACACTTTATGGGTACTGCCAGGGAGAGAATGCATGGCTTAATGCATGCTAGGCAAGTATTCTAGCAGCTGAACTACATTTGTAGCCTCAATTATACTTTAATTTGATCAATGGTGCTCTAATTCCTGATCTAAAATAAACTCCAATTTTCCATATGGAATTAAAAAGTTGTTTTTGAGAGGAAAAAAAAAGCTAGAAATGCCATATGCATACATAACTTAAAAAACAGTTCCAGCTGGGTGTAGTGTCACATGCCTGTAATCCCAGCATTCTGGATTACAGAATGGTGATGGAGAGTTAACATGTAGCCCCAGAAAGAAAAACAAATAAACAAAAAATACAAAGAAAGAATTTGTTGAGATTACTAAGTGAAGCAGAAAAATGACATAATTCTAAGTAGTGATTACATTGTGCTTGTAATCAAGGTTTCATAAATAAAACTGAGACAAAATGTTCTGTACATTGTGAGTTCAACACTGTGTTTAGGAGCTGGAGAGATGGCTCACTAGTTAAGAACCCTTATTGCTTTTTCAGAGGACCCAAGTTTATCTCCCAGTACTCTTGCCAGTGGTTCACAACTGCCTGTAATTCTAGCCTTATGGGAATCCAACACCTTTTTCTGCCTTCTGTGTGCACCCACTCCCCGACTCTCTTTCATACACACCCAAAAAATCTATTCTTAAAATAAAAGTCTGTATTTAGAGGGATTATAGTAGCAAGGCAGTGTCCTCCAAATGAACTTTTAGTTTTACCTAGTGGTTGGCAACCTGTGAATCTGGCTCACTTTGTAGAGTACCTGTCTGGCATGCACAAAGCCCTTGGTTCCATCCTGAACACTGCAAAACCAGCGTGGAGGTACTACACACCTGCTAGCCCAGCACTCAGGAAGTAGAATCAGGAAGATGAGAAATTGAAGGTCATCATCAGCTATACAGAAAATTTGGGGCTTTCTTGGGATACAAGAGAACTTCTGTAAACAAAAAAATTAACATCAGTGTATAGTAGATCCTTTAATAATTTTGCACTTTTATCAATTTGTCAAAGCAGATTACATTTCTTAGGCTCTATTGCCACCTAGTGGCACATTGCTGTTATCTTGAGACCCTGTTTTTTTTTTGTTTTTTTTTTTGTTTTTTGTTTTTTGTTTTTTGTTTTTTTTTTCTTTTCTTTTAGGATTGCTATTCCTGTGAGGAAACAAACACCAGGACCAAAAGCAACTTGGGGGAAAAAGGATTTATTTTGCTTACAATTACATATTATATTCTATCATAGAAGGCAGGCATGGCAGGAACCTGGAGGCAGGAGCTGATGCAGAGGCTATGGGCGAGTGCTGCTTACTGGCTTCTTAAGCCTGCTTTCTTAGGACCAGGAGCCCAGGAGAGGGGCTGGGCCCTCCCACATCAATCACTAAATAAGAAAAGTCCCTGCAAGCCTGGCTAATGGAGGGTTCCTCTTGTCTGATAGACTTTAGTTTTATGTATTTCAAGTTGACATAAATACTAGTTAGCACAGAAACTAAATAGAGAATCTTGGCTTCCTTACAGGGTAACTGCCACAGTAGTTATGGGGCCCAATTTTGGTCCCCACACAAGGACTTTGTGATTTTACTTTCTATTGCTAAAGATAATATAGCACTAATGCTCATCCCATTGAAAGGAACCAAGGGTTTGAATCGGTTTAACTACACTGTGTTGCTGACAAGTTATCAACACTCTTGGGCTCAAATTACCCCTTATTTTGGATGAGAATAGGAACATCTGTCTAGAGTTATTCTCTTTAAATCAGTTAATGTGGAGCTGGGCAAATGGTTCAATAGGTAGAGTACTTGCCTCACTAACATGGCCAACAGCACTTACATAAATAAGGAGGAATGACTGCAAATGGTTGAAAACCCAACTCGGAGTCAAGGCAGGTAGTTTCTTGGGAGTCACTGGCCTGACATTCTGGCTGAAATGCTGAGTTCAAAGCTCAGCAAGAAATCCTGTCTCAAAAAATAATAATATTGAGGGCTGGAGAGATGACTCAACAGGGAAAAGCATTCATCTTACAAGGCTCAAGAGCTGAGTTCAACACCCCCTTGTCCCTAGAAGCTATGTAGAAAGCTGTATGCAGTAGTGTGCAGCTGCAATCCAAGCACTCACACAGTGAAATGGGAGGCAGAGAAAGGAGAGTCTAACTTAGAAGCTTGTGGGCTAGTTAGCATGGAGTACATACACAACACAACAGAAACAAGAACTGTAGCTAGAGTTTTCCTGCCTTGTCTACAGTCAGGACAAATCTTTGGCACCCGCCAGTCCCACAGCCACTCAGACCCAACCAAGTAAACACATAAACTTATATTGCTTACAAACTGTATGGCCATGGCAGGCTTCTTCCTAACTGTTCTTATAGCTTAAATTAATCCATTTCCATAAATCTATACCTTGCCATGTGGCTCGTGGCTTACTGGCATCTTCACATGCTGTTTGTCATGGCGGCCACTGGCAGTGACTTCCTGCCTCAGCCTTCCACTTCCCAGAATTTTCCTCTCTCCTTGTCCCGCCTACTTCCTGCCTGGCCACTGGCCAATCAGTGTTTTATTTATTGACCAATCAGAGCAATTTGACATATAGACCATCCCACAGCACGACTTAGGAAGGAATGAATCATTTTCTGAAAGTTGTTCTCTCTCTCTCTCTCTCTCTCTCTCTCTCTCTCTCTCTCTCTC